GATATCACAGTTGATCCTGTCGTTCAGGCGCGAAAATACCGCGTCACACAATTGCACGACACATATCAATGGCTTTCATCTTATATTTCGATACATTATCGTTGAGTTCATCTTACAGGCAAGAATTTTGTTTAATATTACGGTCGGCTCTTTTCAATCAACTACAACATTGTATTATCCTCACTTGCAGGTAAGGTATGTTGTTCTATATATCCTATGTAAAGTATGTTGTTCTATATATCCTATGTTCTATATATCCTATGTAACGTATTTACCTAAATAAATTAAGCATTGTAAACAGAGATAGCATTACTTGCTAAATTGTTATTGCAATCATACAAAATGATTAATTAATGTAATAATATATTTACTGTTAAATTATACAATTTTTCCTGATCGAGTGAATATTGTCACCTGTGCGATCGTGACACAATACTATAAACAGATCAAGCTTCAGGTACTTAATCTTAATCGCTTAGTTTTTATGAATAAAAAAGTGTCACGTATAAAGCAATTTTTATATGCAGAAAAACATATTAATGCATTTGATATGTTATTTTTATTATTTTCATGCTGATACATGCAAACACGTGTCATTTTAATATTTTGGGAAAAATAGAACGAGTTTTTAAAGGTTCACTTGTTGTTGTAGCGATATTTCCAATCTTGTGGAAGGATATAAATATTTAACGTCTAATAACTCATGCACTTGCATTAACCTTTATGCAAATATATGCGATGAACCAACCTTCCACGTAAAACGAACTCTTAGTTTCAATTATTATCTTATACGTAAAGTTCCCCTGCATAATAGTTCCTCCCAAATATTAAATTAATTAATATATCATTTCATTGATTCCATTTGTGTGAATGCCGTGTTGCGAAAAACACTGCCTCAACCAAGAAAACATTAATCTTGTAGCAGTGCCGACCGTCTATCTGCGGAAAACTCGTCGTCTATGTTGTCCACGACGGGAACAATATCTTGCTATGGTATAAATCGAACTGAATATTCACATTTATCTTATTTCAGGCCGAGCTCCAAAAGCATGGAGATCCGTGAGATCCAAGTACTTAAGGATATTTGGGACCAAAGGAACTTAAAAAATTAAAATTTGTATACCAATCTCTCATAATATGGTGTACAATATAATATAGCATAATATTGTATTGTATGTAAAATAGCTACATCCTTTAGGTACAATAAAGAAATATTAATTTTACATATATTTATGCTCAATGAAGTTATTTAATTATTTAATTAAACAAGGTCGCGTCAATATAATACGCCATCCTGTACCCTTGGTCACCTTTTGGAGAAAAATTCTATTTATTGTCACGACCAGCCCTTTATTCCAATATATTACACACTTGAATCATCCTCACTGTTAGGTAAAGTACCCTATGTAGGTACTCTATGTGACACATTTAGCCAAGTAAAACAAGCATCGCAAACCGGGACAGCACTGCTCGCTAAGTTGACACTGCAATGTCGTGTAATAACTGATTAATTAGTATAAAAATAAATATATTAATTAATGAATTATATATAAAATTTTCCAAATCGAGCGAGAATTATAGCACTTGTGGTATCATGACGCGACATTACAAATAGATAAAATTTCAGACAATTATTTGCAATAGTTTAGATTTTATACAGAACATAAAAGTCTCAAGCATAAAGCAGTTTTATATATAAAAATTATAATGCATTTATGTATAAAAAGAATATCAATGCGATATTATATGTTATTATATGTTATTTTCTTGCTTTAATGCTATTTATATGCGTGAACACGTGACATTTTTATTTTTAGATAAATAGAACTTATCTTCACAAGCCTAATCACGCCTGTTGTAGCGATATAATATTTCTAACTCTGTTCACATCAATGTTTAACGTGTAATGATTCACGCACTTCTGCATTATCTTCTGAACAAACGTATGCAGTGATTTGACCTTCCACGTAAAACGAATCATGAATCTTAATTATTTTCTTATACGTGATTCTCACACTGAGAAAAATATCTGATCATATCTGATCGGATAATCCAATTAAAAAGTAACAAACGGATATATCCGATCAAGTGCGATGTCCGATCAAGTCGTGTCATTATCCGATGAAAATTGCAATGGATATACAAAAGGCGACTAATTTTCCGATTAAATTTAATCGGTAGTTGCATCGGTGATTTCATCGGATGTTTTATCGGATAAAAATGTCCATCACTTGGTCGAACAATAAAAGTAACAATAGGATCATACATCGAATTATACATCATTTAATCGGTTTATCTGATGAAAATTTTTCTCAGTGCATATATATTAACACTTCCAAAACATTAAATAAATATATCATTTTATTGACTTCACTTGCCGTGTTGTGAAAAATACTGTCCCAGCTAAAAAACATTAATATTGATAATTATAAATAATTGAAAAATATTAGTATATATATTCTCTCACAAAATTAAAATAATATTATTATATCGGTACAACAGCCGCGATTAAATTTTGTAAAGCCTGTTTTATTTTTGGTTTTACTTACGTGTCCATGCAATGGAACGCATGATGACTCGTCAGGATAAGGAGCAGTCAATATAACGTTGACAGCAAGCAGGGCGATTAACACGAACGCTAGATGTATGTCCATTCTATCGAAGGATGCGCTGCCACGTTAACAAAAAGGACAAATTAACATCACGAAATTGCACCAATAATATATATACAGTGAAATTTTATATATGTTAATCGAATGTAAAATTGACATAGCGAGAGGGAGAGAGAGAGAGAGAGGGAGAGAGAAAGCGTTATCAAGGAAAAAGTGCACAAATAATAATTGTTTTCACTAAAAGCGCAATAATTGTTAACCATCGGTATACCATTAGGATCCATTGGATTCAATTTTTCAAATTTCTTTTATGAATAGTTCTAACTATTTGCTAGAATTGATACTTCATACTTTTTATACCTCCTTAAATTTCTCCCAAATAAACAAAGAAAATTATATTTTTAATAGAATAAATTGATTCCTCTTAATTCCATTAATAATACGATATGGTATATAGATGATTAATTAATTTTTGTACCGGAAATATTCAGATTCGGCATAGATGTACGGCTGGTTCGAAGAAACCTGTTCTACTAAAGTATTTTACATTTCACCATGAATTTATAGAGAGTGAACGCGCGATCTTACGTAAAAAATCGGAACTAATAATTGATTACGCCTTATCATTATTTTTCCGAGTAGCTGTCGACATCTCTCTCCGCTACAATATCTCAGAAAAGATATCGAATAATATTTACCTGATCGTGTACATAATTATTATCTCGGGACAGTTGTTCGGAAGAAACCAAGAATCAATTAACATTTATCTTAGAATCATGAATAAATGGAAAGAAAACGAAACAAGGATAAAAGAGCTGAAAATATTAACTCAACTGCGACATATTCATCTACAAGTTTCGAAAGGAAAAAAGTCCCTCTTGCAACACTTTGGTACCAAATGACACCGCAGCTAAAGTGTATAGAAATATTCGAGAAAAAATAATATTATATAAATAATAATATTGTATTACATTATATAATAGAATTTATATATTTTTTTCTATGTGTAGATACATCTTATTACATATGACTATATATAGCCATATGGAAATATACAGAAACAAATATATATATATATATATATAATAATTTTTTCCTGGATATATATATATATATATATATTTATTTATTTATTTATTTATTTATATTTATATATTTATATACATATATTTATTTATTTACGTGTTTATTTATTTATTTATTTATTTATTTATTTAT